TCAAACAGATCAAGACAGGGACCATTTCCATCACCCCAGAAAGTTCCCTTGTGACCCCTGCTCCAGGCCTCGCACTTCTGAGAGCTCCAATATCATAACCTTCCCTCCCATAAATATACATATTCAAGACCACATGGGTGCCGCTGTCACTCATGATCCAGAACTCAGCGCTGGCAGGGCACACTGCAGCCCTACACCTCTATTCTCTTAATGCCCTCGGGGCCCCAGGGAGATGCTGCTCCACATCTTTGGTGTATATCATCAAAAGAAAAGGCGACTGCATCCCAAGGCTATGACGGTTTGTGGGCTGTGCCACTGCTGATACCAAGGGCAGACGCTGCTTCGGAGCGCTGGGAGGACTGGAGCCGCGAGGATGTGAGCAGCGGGAGTGCTTGGTAAGAGAAAAGACACGGGAATGAACTCGTCAAATCCTTCCTCTCACATGGCAGGAATGCTGTAGATTCTTATATAATGAAATGTCCAGTACCACCAAGCATCAATGTTCTTACTTTTCTTTTTCTTCCAATTCACGATACAAATATATTGAAATTTTGAACTCGTTGAACACAATCACATTTTACTTAGATCACATTTGCTTTAGATCCCTGCTCTCAACAGAGCTCAAATCATGTGAAAATCTCATAACATAGTGCTTTTGCTGACATGAAGGCAAGAAAAAATATTTTACGGATTAACAAATGACTCATGGATTGATTCCAGGTATTTTCGCTGTAAGCATCTTTGCCACAAGCAGTTTCACCACAAGCATTTTCACCACAACCATTTTCAACACACAACTAATTGGCCGTGAAGGCAATTTTCTGTAAAAGATAAAAATAAGTCGTTGACTGACAGTTTTAGTTTCATTATGGTTTCATTTGGTTTCAAATGGTTTTCACTGGGTTTCATTTGGCTCATATGCTTTTTATTTGGTTTCATTTGGTTACAAATATGCATCCTAATATTTGGATGAAATTATAACCTCTCTTAATGAAGGAAAACATTTTAGCAAAAAAAAAGAAGAAAATGTGATGCCAGACAAGGAGATAAATCAACAAGCAAAATAAAAAAGTATAACACTATGAATGAAAGATTTGGAAGACATGTGCTTAGGTAACAATCCACAGAATAAAATCATCTCTTTGACAGTATTGCCATGAGTCTACATACATTTAAATATTCAAATATTTGTATGCAAATATTTTGTATTTTCATTTTTCAGCCTTTTTAATTTTGTGATTGATTTTTCATGTTTCATTATGAAAACCACTTGTAACCAAATGAAACCAAACCTGTCAACCAGTTATTTTATCTTTTACAGCAAAACTGCCTATGGCCAATGAGCTGCACAGCTGAGACCGCTATAGTAAACGGCTCACGGCAAAAATACTGGACACCTTATGGATTATGTATATCTTCATTACTCACCCCAATTTCATTGGCCCATCAACACAACACTCAGACATGTGCAATAATTCAATTTAATCATCTTTGATATTTTCTGATTTTTGGTCGTATAAAAACCATAGTTTTATACATATTTTAATTTTGTTCCTATGAGGGTATGTTTGTCAAGGTAGGAAGATAGAATGTATTTTATTGAACTGTGGCGTGTGGGCCTCCATTTGTACTCTTGCCCCTGGCTGTGCAAAGGCCTGTTTAAAAGTGCTTGGAGGATGGACAGCATACTACCAGGCATACATGTTTCTGTTTTGGAATACTTGTCCAAATCCCTTTGCTCCCTTTTCTTTTTCCATTGCAGACAAATTTGATACATTTTTTTTAAAGTGTCTTAATTTCTGCTGACATTTCACACTGTACCCTCACATGAGACAAGCACTGCAGAGATGGAAGTTTCCATGCAAAGACTTTCCTTAGCAACAGTAGCTGGAGATGAGGCTCTCCTGTAGCCCTTCCTGTCTCCAGGAGAGGGAAAACCAGCCCTGCTACCCGGGGCATTCTGAATAAAAAGCAATCAAGGCCCTGGAGGAAATTAAGAAAACCTGTGAAAATACCTAATCCTCCCCTTCTGCAAGGCTCTCCTGTTTCAGCACTAGATTTCAGTGTCCCCACCTGCATTTTTTTTTTTTTTTGAGGAAGATTAGCCCTGAGCTAACATCTGCTGCCAATCCTCCTCTTTTTGCTGAGGAAGACTGGCCCTGAGCTAACATCCGTGCCCATCTTCCTCTGCTTTATACGTGGGATGCCTACCACAGCATGGCTTGCCAAGCAGTGCCATGTCCACACCCCAGATCTGAACCGGCAAACCCCAGGCCAACGAAGCAGAACCTGAACACTTAACTGCTGTGCCACTAGCTGGTGCCCCCCCCCCCACATGCATTTTAATCAATATGGCCCCAGGGCAGTGCTTCCCACATTACCCAGGCTACATAAATCACTTGGGTTTTACAATGCAACTGCAGATTCAGTGGGCTTGGGGTGGGGCATTTCTAACAAGCTCTCCTGCTGCTGCTGACTCAGCACAGAAGCAACCACACGCTGATTCCAAGGCCTTAGAGTATCTTGGTCCTTTCCTGTTGCTTATGAAAATGCAGCTCAGGAAAAAAAAAGGCTTTTATTTGTGTTGTCCACTAGTCTGCTTCTCTCATCATTCAATAAAAATTATCATCTGTACGTATTCAAAGTATTCTCAAAACTGAGGCCCGGATAGTGTAACTTTTGGCCTAAAATTTCCTTCTGTGCTGACTTTGGGGTCAGCACCCTGGGAAACAAGCCAACTCTGACTTAAGAACCTGCTTACCTCTCCTTCCAGCGCACCTGAAGCCCTACCCCACTGCTCAGTTTGGGCCCCTTAATGCCCGTACCCTCCTCTTCCTCAGCCCACTCCCAGCCCCCAATTCAGTCAAGTCTATTAGCCAGACCCAGGGTCTTGGGTAAAGCAATATAATATGGTCTAACATGAAGAGATGAGAAGACTTGATGCGACTAATGATCACTGAACGTGGCATTCTTGCAAGAGTGTCTACACTTTCATTTTTTTCTAAAGCTACTTAGAGAAAAAACATCTTAACATAAAGGAATCAAAAATGGTAGGATTTTAGACATTTTAGCAAAATGATGGATAAACAATTTTATTTTTGTTTAAGAAAAAGCCCTGGAGACTGGCCAAACACTGCTTCCTTCCTCTCTCCATTTATTCATTCCTTCAGGTACCAGGGAAGCAGAAGGAAAACTAGCGGACTTGCATCCCAGTTCGGCCACTAACCAGCCCCTCCATCTTAAGGTTCTCCCTCTGCAAAATGGGAATGGATAATAATAACATCGCCTTAGAGGGCTGGTGTGTGGACCAGTACTACTATTTTACTGATCACTTACTAGGTGCTCAAAACTGGATGCTGTGCTATGCTGGAAAAGCAAACCTCCAACTGCTGCCTCTTCCTGACCCCCAATAATTAAGTAAAATACGGATCTTGATCAACACACACTTCAATCAGTGTGTCATCTCTTGAGTTTCATGCCCTTAATCCCAAGAAATCACTGTTATACCAAGAAGTCAACTGACAGCACCCCTTGAATGTAAGATTGCAGTAATGTCAGAAAGGCCATTGAGACATTCCTAAAACTTGCATTAAGATACTCCAACTTTCGTTGCTGTCTCGAGTCACAGATAGAATAAAACGATTGACAGCCAAAGCAAGTAGGCGAACGTTTCATAACCTTTTATAGTGAGAAAAAAAGAAAATCAACAATAGTATATGTAATGCTGTGAGTTTAGGATTCACAAATTCTTCATATTCTTCTTTCAAATTACTTCCTCTCCTCACTATTAACAAAACTGTAAAGCTCTGATGATTTAACTTTAGTAGAACTAGGGCAATAATTTCCACCCGAATTCAAGCCCTGTATTGATCCGTGTGCATGCACAGGCCAACACCCACGTGTTTTAATTACGGAAAGCAAAATCTGATTAACAAGTTGTTCTTTCTTAAGTGGCAAGCACAGAGCAGCCCTTGCCTTTGATAACATGGTATATGTATTATATACTATATAAGTATATGGTATAGAATATAGTATAAGCATGAATCATGTCTCAATCAGAAAGTATACCGCAACAACGATGAAATTATTTTAAAAGCACATTTGTCTATTCAATAATTCCCCTCTCTTGAAGAAATAGTTTCCAAGTATAAATAAAGTGTAATGGGAGAGACAGAGACATTTTATTTAATCACCTTTCCTAGCCTGTGATCCAAAGGGAATAAACGTATTATAAACGTTTTCAAGGGGGAGGAGAGTATATCAATAAGTCCATGCATAAAAGATGTAGTCTTGGAAATAAGCAGTTGCTTCAGCTCTTAGAGCATGTGTCTCACTGGCTTCCACGCACTGTAAGGCATACTTAGAAATGCTGTTCCCTCTCACCCAGCCCACTGAAGGGAGGTGTTTTTCTTTTCTTCTACTCTTAATCCACCAGTCTATCAGCTCATGTGTCTAACATGAAGTCTTAGCATTTCAGATTTAACGTTTTTCTTCAGGCTCAACATTATCCTTCAGGAACATGAATTTCATAATCTGGATTCTTATTTTCATTTTACAAGAGCAATGTATGTTGGTCATCTTTAAAAACTAAAAAATACAACTAAACAAAAACAAGAAAAATAAAACTCCTTTATCATTCCTTTACCCCAAATTAAATAGTTATCTCTTGGTGTATAATAGTCAGTACATATACATGTATGTATACACATATACGCTTTTTAAATGGTTCATACTTACACATTGCATCTTATACCCTGATTTTTTCAGAATATTATGCATCTCTTTTTAATATAAATTTTTCAATAAGTGACCATGTACAATATTAATAGCTGATTACTGCTTTTTAAAAAAGTCCTTTTTAAACTCCTTAGCAAATTTGAGGCAGTATTGCAAAGTAAGTTTTTTTGATGTAAAATTTGTTAGTTAAACCATTATTCCACTGAGAATAAGGGTGAATAACAAATACACATAAAGGAAAGGCGTCCTTGCGCTCACAGTACCTTGTTTTGCCATACACTCTAGCCTGACGACACTTCCTAGGAAACGGTGGTAAGCCCTCATCTCTGCCTCCGTGATCCGCACGGAGGTGTACGGTAAGTATGCAGGGTCTCGCTGCCCACACTTCTTACACCAGGAGGCCATTGGATTCCAGAAACAGTGCCACTTTGTTCTCTCTCTGTTCCTCTCAGCACTGTACTCACATAAATGTGTTTAATCCTTTCTCCTGGCTAATCTCTCTGAAGTTCACTCAAGGTCATCTCATTGCTGAGAGTTTAGCCTTTGGATTGGTAAGTGCTCACAGAATTACAGGCCCAACAGATTACTGGAGTTTCTCATTCGGAAACAAAGGGGAAACTGGAGATGAGGATGTCAGGGTAGAGAGGGAAATCTTAGAGAATCAGAATGTTTTTTCTTTTTTAGAGGAATCAGAACATGAGTCATTCATCAGGCCACTGCATATTTAAAATAAAATAATAGATAGGGATAAAGTTTTTAAAGGACGCTCCTCAGAAAATTTATTTCAGGCCATAATTCTTCCCTCCCTCTCTTCCAACCTCTCCAGGTCACCGAGGAATAAAATTCAGAGACTTAACATGGCAGCCAAAAGCAGCCACTATCTAGGCAGGCAGCGTGGCTTGGCACAGCAAACGGTAAAGGTTCACATCCTGAGGTAGGACGTGGAGTGTCTCCTGAACCTGTTCTAAAGATCAGGTGCAAGTACAACATCAGGGTTCTAACAGGAAGGATGTTCTTTGCTCGTCATGATCTGACCCAGAGCCCAGTTACCACCACTTGGGGAAAAGCGAGCTCACCTTTCAGAACTGTGCTGTGCACAGAGGGTGGTACACTCAGAGAGAGATTGCTTTTTCATAATGTATTTTATTTTCGTTCTCCATGCTTAACGTTTTCATTTATTAATGCTATACTCCAAGGCTTAAAGGGAGGGCACAATGTGAAATATCTGATAAATAAATAATAAGTCTCGTACACAAACTTTTAATTTTTATGTGTATTACTCAAGCTAAAATTTCAGAGTAAGGCTTGCAATTGGCCAAGGAGAAACTGGAAGACCTTTTCTATAAAAAGAAAAATTAACTGTTCATTTTTAGGGAGAGGGTAAAATTTACATATACTGAAATATTCAGATCTTATGTATACATTTTATTGAGTTTTGACAAACGGATACATCCACATAACCCATACCCCTCTTAAGATATAGACCATTTCCAGCTACAGAAACTACCTTCATGTCGCTTCCCAGTCAAGCCCTGTTGTGATTTTTTAATAGAGACTAGTTTTGTCTATTTAAAAACTTTATATAATGTAATCAGACAGTATGTACTCTTTTGTGTCTAGCATCTTTCTCTCAGGATAATGCTTTTGAGATCAGCCATGTTGTATGTATCAGTGGTTCATTCATTTTTAATGCTGAGTTGTATCCCATCGTACGGATGGTCACAGTTGGTTTGTCCATTCTCCTGCTGAAAGACACTTAGGCTTTTACCAGTTTGGGCTATCTATTATGAATAAAGTTGCTATCAACATTCATGTAAAAGTCTGTGTGTGGACATACGTTTGCATTTCTCCTAGATAAAAAACTAGGAGGGGTATTGCTGGGTCAAAGGAGAGGTGTTTACTTAACTTATAGGAATCTGCCAAACCTTTTCCCAAATTGGTTATACTAGAAGGTGTTCTAACATTAGAGGCTGCTCTCTTGAGTAATCCTCTGAGCCAGTTCTTTATTAGTGTTCACTGCACGTGAAGTACTTTAAGAAAACACTTAAATTAAGGAGAAGAAACTTAATATAATTTGAGACTCTAAAACTTATGAAAGCTCTTTTTCTCCCTACCATTAGGTATTGTGAATGTGCTGACTCCAATAAATGCCAACTCTGAAAGTCTTCTAAAACAAGGCAGCAAATAAAGCAGTTTTCAAACAGCAGCTTATTATATATATCCAAATAGCCCTCCAAAATGGTTGTACCAGTTTGCATTCCCACCACCCCCATGTGGAGGCTCTTTATCTTGCTAAACACTAACTTCTTCACCCTTTCATTCAGATATGAACAGCCATGAATCCATGGCTGGCATCACAGCACCTATGAACACAAGAGCTATCTTTGCTAAAAACGTAAACCCACAATGGCGGTGTGCATGCAACTGCACAAACCCAGGGACCACCGTAATTATATCTTTTTGCAGCTTACAGAACTCTAGGGAGAGGCAGACTCTAAAATCTTAGAAATTTTATTACATTTGAATCTATTATATGAACAAACTGTACAGCTCTTATAAAGCTTACATTCCGTGCACTGACCTTGATCATTAGACCAAGATCAAATATCCAGTAAAAGACTGTATTTTCTTTATGTTTAACAATAGATTCTAAAATAACTGGGTCCTAGGTAACTCTCCTTAGAAAAGAGCTGATTATTTCTATCTCAGTGGCAATGGAGATGAATGTGTTCTCCATCTTCCCTCCAAGAAACCACCATTACAGGTAGGAAAGAAAAGAAAAGAAGCTTTCTTAGCACTTTTAGATTCACTCCAGTTAAGAAAAGAAAGTTGCATATGTTTTGTATCTGTGTAGCAGAAGGAACTGAAGCCACCCACCTGCCCATAGATGTCAATGCAAAATGGAGAATGAGAAGCTACAAGCTCAAGAAGGATTTGAATCATCCATAGCATGAGAGCATCTGGGTTACTATTTTTCAGAAGTAAGATCACTGTCATATTAAACGGAAGGATATTTTTTCCTTATATAGTCAAGACTTTGTTTTCTTTTGAAAAAAAAAATCAACACTCAAATGGCCAGATGTATTTGCTGAGGAGACTAAACTGACTTTCCCCCAGAGATGCCCTGGGGGTGAAGGGTGTAACAGGCCTACTGGTGGTGGAGCTGTGGGGGCTACCACACTCCCACCAGTTGACCACAGGGGCCCAATGACTACAGACCTACTCATCTCCCTGATCTTCTCCTCTCACAGGGGAGCAGGAACACCTCATTCTCTTTGGGTCAGGGAGGAGGGGCTTGCCACATGTGATTACATCCACGCGGAGGAACCCTTCCAGGAAGTGTGCTAAATGGCTATGTGGTTCCCATGGGGGAGTAGGACTGGAGTTCATGGGAACAGAGAGACGGACTTTTAACTTCACACTCTTCTGTACTATTTGCAATATATACAAACAGCATGGATTACTTTCATTAATAAACTAAAAACGTACTAATAAAGATTTTAAAAAATTATTTTTTCTGGGTTATTCACTCCATATACCTAGCTTTCCAACATGCTCCTCAATAATATTTTTGGAATATTGCCTGACTTTTATAAAATTTATTGACTACTATGGCAAAATGTAGATGGTTTTGAAGATGAGTGATGAGTAAGGTTTGTAAGACTGTTCTATTTTTGTGATGTCTTAAAATTTTCATAATTAAAAGTTACACCCAAAGGTTAGTGTAAACTGAGTGCAATATACAAATGAGATAAGACAGTCTTCCTATTGCCTTCAGTGCATGTAACATGCACACACAGAATGAAATCCCTAGACAATGCAAAATAACTTGGGCATTATGATTGGTTTTTTCAAATTATTTCAGTTGAGCTAATACTAAAAATGATATTAAAATGTGGCTTTTAAAACAGACAGCTTGAAACCATAAAACTCCTGGAAACCACAGACAGCATGCTTTGACATTGGTCTTAGCAGGATCTTTTTGAATACCATGTCTACTCAGGCAAGGGAAACCAGAGAAAAAGTTAATGAATGAGACTACATCAAACCAAAAAGCTTCTGCACAGCAAAGGAAACCGTCAATAAATGAAAAGACAACCTACCCATTGAGAGACAATATTTGCAAATCATACATCTGATAAACAGTTAATATTCAAAATATATAGAGAACTCACACATCTCAACAACAACAAAAAATCCAATTGAAAAATGGGCAGATGATCTGACCAGACACTTTTCCAAAGAAGATACACAAATGGCCAAGAGGCACATGAAAGGATGTTCAACATCACTAATTAGTAGGGAAATGCAAATGAAAACTGCAATGAGATATCACCTCACACCTGTCAGAACAGCTATTATCAAAAAGACAAAAAATAAGTGTTGGCGAGGATGTGGAAAAAAGGGAACCCTCATACACTGCTGGTGGTAATGTAAATTGGTGCAGCTGCTATGAAAAACACTGTGGAGGTTCCTCAAAAAATTAAAAATAGAGTGATGTCAGCAACGTGGCAGCATGAGCTCACCCGGGACTCTCTCCTCTCCAAATTACAACTAAAAAGAGCAACTGCTTTCCAACCAAAAAAAAAAAATCCTAGTAACAGAAATCGTCAGAGACCCACAGCAGCCAAACGACGGAAGGTGGAGAGGCTGGAGCTGCCCTCGGAGGAGCTGGAACAGGGTGGGAGAGAACTTCGCTCCCTTCCCTAGAGACTGGGATCGCTGCTGAGGGTGCGGGAAGGCGTGGGTGAGGGGCTGCGAGACCAGGGATCATCCAGGACTCCCATCGCCTGCAGTGGAAACCCTCTAATGGGGGAAAGCTTTCTTGTGGGGGAACCCCAGCAAGCCAGGGCACCAAGACACCAGAAAGCAAGAACTGACCCGACTCCAGGTTGGCGTGAGTGAAAGCGCCCCTCCTCCCCCAAACCACGCTGCGCCCGGCCATTGCGGCTGAAGGCAGAGGGCTCAGAACCAAGGCTCTCGACCCCCACTAGTGGCGACAGGCTGTAACTGCAGCCGAATAATGGCATCATGCGCAAAAGCCACTCCTCTACCATCCAGCAATTTATAAAAGCTCCAGTCCAAAAGGAAAACAATAAAAATACAGAAGTAGGTCCTGAGGGCTTGGAAATGGGTAAACTAGGTGAAGATGAGTTCAAAATAGCTATCCTCAAAATATTCAATGAGGTAAAGGGAAGTATAGAGAAACAAGTCAACGAGTTCTGGAGTTATTTCACAAAAGAGATTGAAATCATAAAGAAGAATCAATTAGAAATACTAGAGATAAAAAACACAATGGATCAGATGAAACAGAATACAGATTCTCTGAATGCCCGTGTAGACACCGTAGAGGAGCAAATTAGCATAATTGAAGATAGACAGGCTGAATGGCTCCAGACCGAGGAAGAAAGAGAACTAAGAATTTAAAAAACTGAAGAAAATCTCAGAGAAATAGCTGACTCAATGAGAAAATGCAACTTAAGAATCATCAGAATTCCTGAGGGCGTGAAAAGGAAAATGGAGCAGAAGGGGTGCTCAACGAAACAATAGAAGAGAACTTCCCAAATCTAGGGATTGAGAGAGAAATTTGTGTGGAGGAAGCTTTCAGATCTCCTAGATTTGTCAATGTAAAAAGACCTACTGCAAGGCACATAGTAGTAAAAATGGCAAAAATGAAGGACAAAGAAAGAATACTCAGGGCAGCAAGGCAGAAGAAAATAACCTACAAACCCCATCACACTTTCAGCGGATTTCTCTACAGAAACCTCACAAGCTAGGAGAGATTGGAGTGATATATTCAAAACTTTAAAGGATAAAAGTCTTCAGCCAAGAATACTCTATCCAGCAAGAATATCCTTCAGACATGAGGGAGAAATTAAATATTTTCCAGACAAACAAAAATTAAGGGAATTTGTAACCAAAAGTCCTCCACTACAAGAAATCCTCAAGAAGGTTCTCACACCTGAAAAAAGAAAAAAAGGGAGTAAGGGGTCACAAAACACAGAGTAGGGAGACAAATAGATGGAATAGGATAGCAAATATTCAACTATAGCATTAGGATAAAGGGAAGGAAATCACCAAAGCAAAGACAATCTTATCACTCTAACCACAAACTCACAACACGAGTTAGAAT